GGATCCTAGTTCTAGTTGTGTATAACTGGCTCAGCCAATGCATTGTGTTTTCGAGAACCTATGACAACTTCACTGTCAACATTTGGTAAACAATCATTCCCGATAGCCTGTTTTATGCAGAATAGGATTACGTTGATTTCTCTCTGTAATATACTTGTACGCTTTTTTTTAAGCATCTGTACGTCCGTGTACTGTCCGTTCGCGCTTTTTCCATCAATTTATTTGTGGTTATGTCTGATTGTCATAGTGTCCGTGTCCGAATTGCTGCCCGAAATTGGGTTAACGTCAATAATCCAAGATGGATTGGTTGAGATGCGATGTTGTATGGCCACCCAGATCACCCGATCATGTAGGTGGACAAAAGAATCTGAATTGAGGGGTATTTTTATTATGATCTGACAATCACATTCATAGACTTGTAACTTAGAAAAAAATAAAAATGGATATACAAGTCTTGTGTTTTTCTTACTAGAAATTGAGTATACTTTGCTCTACCAAAATTGTAACATACTTATTGATACCTTGTATAAATTGTATAATGTATAATCTGAATTCTGCCAATTATTTACCACCAAATCGTACTATTTATTCTCTTATGAGACCAAAGACAAGGGTACTTTTACATGAACTGTTGTAACTTACACTGACAATTGATGCAGACAATCCTTAGTGAGGTAGACAGATCCAAAGTGCCGACTCCACAATGTCGTTGATAATAAAAGTTAAGCCACGGAACGTAACTTACAAATACGAACCGCAACACAAATCTAATATAATAGTTCATAAAGTGGCTGATCATTAAGTAATAGAAATTGACATCATTGCAAACTGTGGCAATTCAACGAAAGATCAATTTTTACACTATATATTGAAAGAAAATCATCAAATAATGATTAGAAATATAGACATCAAAATTCTGATACCCATTTACTGATTTCAAGATCTCTCAAAAACATTCAGACAATAACAAATCTGATAATCAGTTGTCTTCGAACATCTACAAATATTATAAGATTCAAGTTTGTTTTTAATTCAATAATCCCAAGAAGGGAGGTAAATGATTGAATTTTTTTTCAATCAACAGTATTACAATTCAATTACTGATTCTTTCCCTTATTTGAAGATTTTGTTTTCAGTTCTGATTCGAATTGGTCGAGTGTGTTTGAGGCTTGTAATATAATGAAAGGGGAAAAAAAGTTCATCAAAAAATACGAAAAAAAAAAAAGAGTAGACTTGTAGGGTGAGTGGAAATTGCCATAATTTACGATGAAGTCGTGATAAAATGTAATATAACTTAAACAATAATTTTCAACTCACATATTTGTATACTGTCAAAACAACAACAATCATCAACATTTTTTTATTATGTTAATAATTATCTAGATGGATTTCTACTTGCTTCATTCTGTCCCTAATATCACCTTCCAGCACTTTTACCAAATACTTCTCTATACATTTTGAATGTGATCTCTCATAGGGTATTTTCAGCACATTGGCCCATTTTCAAAATCTTAATTTTTTTTACGGAACTTACATTGAAGATTATATGTAGAATTGGTAAAGCAGGTGAAGTGGCCATTCAATGAGGGAACACATCTGAAACTCAGATTAGATGATTTATTTTTGTCAATGTGAAAAGAACACCCTACATGAGAAATCATGTTAAAATTTTGTTAAGTAGTATGAGATATGCCGGACTCAAGAGATTAAAAAAAACTGTTCGTGAGTTTAGAATAAGCCATTTCGAACGTGTTGTAGACAATACTTTCTCTAAATAGATTTCAGAAATAGAAAAAAAAGACGATTAAAGAAACAGTTACAGTTCACAAAAATTGAAGTGGTTCGAATTTCGAGACATCAAGACGGCAAACTTTGATCTATGGAAGAATAATCAATAAGAAATGAATTCAAAGGAAACTACAATTTCTTTTCAGATTATTTTTCTCTGAAGTAGCAGATTATGTACCGGGTGAGTCGTTATAAAGTAGCACCACCTGTAACTCTTTTATTTTTGATAGTAGAAAAAAATTGAAAATAGCCTTACAGGGAATTTTTTTTCCTTCTTGGATCAACAGCTACAATTTCACTATCTGGAAAAATATACAGGGAGCAGCAAAGAGTGTATACATTTAAAATAGAACATCCTATATATTTCCTCATCATTGGAAATACATTTAGATGAGCTTTTCCAAAATAGCACACTCAATATATATCTTCTGTATTTCCCAATGTATGGGCATTCAAAACGAGTTTGTTCGATTTTCGAAAGGTCATGACAATTATTGCAAATCCATGTATATTCGCTATATCGCTACCTATGACATTCAATTCTTATTGGCGATGATCACTGAAAATCAATATTGTAATTAGACAAGGCCTACTTCGAAAATAATTCAAAATTGATAAAACTTTGTAAATTTTGAATGCCGATAAATTGATAAATACAGAAGATACATATATTGAGTGTGGTATTTTGGTAAGCTCTTTGAAAGGTCTTTCCAATGGTAGGGAAATATATAGTCTATTTAAAATTAAGAAACTTTCTGCTGCTTCCTGTTTATTGTTTCAGATAGTGAAAATGAACTGTTGATTCAAGAAGGGTAAAAATTCCCTTGTAAAAGGCTATTTGTCCTTTTTCTTCTACTGTCAAGAATAAAAGAGTTATAGGTGTTCGTACTTTATAGCATGTCACCCGGTACACACGAAATTTCAGCGTTTTCCATATAAAATTGAATTCAAAAATTTTGGGCTCAAAGGTCAGTTTAGAAAAAAAATTCGTTAATTGACTATGAATGATTGTTATTTACAAGATTGATAAACTAAACTTCAGTTGACCTCAATCAAACCTAACTGTTGGTTGAAAAATGAGTATCTCCTGAATCAACCTATAAATAGGTCAAGAAAGTAGTATTTTGTATAATTATTGAAGAATTTTTCATTGAGATATATGTTTCAATTTTAGAATCATTTCAGTCAAAAATTCAATAACTTTACGATCTGTCTTACATGCCATAGGTACATCAATTTTTGAAACATTCTATAAAACTTATACTTAGCATGTTTTAATAGTAAAACATTATGTACATTATTGTGTATGCCGGAAATAAAGTAATATCTATTTGTAGATATATCAAAGACTGGAACCTGAGGCACGATAATACACTACACTGTTTTACCACTAACCAAACCGATTTTTTTATACGCCTGGACACATGTATCGCTAACTAAAAAATTGTTCTAAAATTGTGCTATCCGTCATTCGGTTGCCCCCTTAGATTAGATTAGGAATGGGGCCTTCGGGCTATCTGCCTCCACACTGCGACCTTTTCAGATCTATTGTGTCTGCCCTCAAAATCGATTAGAGTTATTCGGCTAGCCCCGCCTTCTCTATGAGACTCCATAGGTTAGCTTTCAGATCTCCTGTGTATCTCTGGGCTCCTGGTTTTTCCTCACCCAGCGTAAGGAACCTTAGTCTTGACAAGCCCTCACAGTGGCAAAGTATGTGTACTGCTGTTTCTTCCTCTTCTTGACAGAACCTGCACAGCAGTTCTTCAGTCAGACCTATCGTACTCATGTGTTTGTTGAGCCTACAAGTCCCACTAGTATTCTAGTTGAACTTCTTTTCTGGCTTAGTAGATATTCTGTGAATGTTGGCGATGGTTTTTTAATAAACTCTTTTGCCTGTCTCATTCCTGGCGAGTTGTTCCACCATTCTTGAGATTTGGTTTGCATCCATGATTTGATACTAGTCTTTTGTATAGCTTTCGCAATACCACCACTGCTCGGGCAAGTGAGTCTGCCTCTTCATTGCCCTCGTACCCTGTATGTGCTGGTACCCATGCTAGAGTCAATCTGTTCTGACTGCCCAGTGCATTTAGGGTTTCTAAGCAGTCCCATACTAGTTTTGAGTCAACTTGCATAGAGTTGACTGCTTTGATTGAAGCCTGGCTACCTGACTAGATTGCAATGGTTTTGCCTTTTAACTCTTGCCTTATCAATTCTTTCACGCAATGATGTATTGCAATAATTTCTGCCTGAAACACCGTCGCGTATTTGCCTAAGCTCAGTGAGATTCTTGTCTTTGGCTTGGCCCCATAAATACCAGCTCCTGATCCTTCCTTACGAGCAACCCTTAGAAGTCTTCGAGAGTCTTGTGCGAGCAAGGAATGACGACCTTATAACGTGTGATCCCAAACACTTTCTTGGGCCATCAGAAAAATGTCTGCAGTCGCGGGGAATTGAACCCACGACCGGCAAGCGAATGCGGATTAGAATACTGACACTCTGTCTGCACGGCTACCTGGCCCTATGTTAGCATCTTCAGGAGGAGATTAAAAATAAGGGTTAGTTAAGAGTTTGTTTTAATCTTCTTCTGAAGATGCTAACATAGTTAGCAAAACATGTGTCGAGGAGTGTAAAATATCGGTTTGGTTAGTGGTAAAACAGTGTAGTGTGTCCATTTGTAGACGGTTAACGATTGTTAAGTTAATTACCGCCCAATTGAAAAATCTGACCGGAATGTTTAAAGAGTAACAGCAGTGGTTGAATATTCAAGTTTTCCGTTTTTCCGCAATACCAGAACTTGAAATACTCAACTCAACTTTCCTGAACATAAAAAAAATATTGATTCAAACGTAGATATGTTGAAGAAATATGTGAGTTGAATATTAGAATATGAAAAACTGTTGGTCACATTACTCACCAGCGGCGCCATGGGCCGAACCTAGGTAGGACTGCGCCGCATCCATATGCCTGTTTGGTTTCAAGCACCATATGAGCGCAAACTTACTTCTAGTAGTTACAAATAAAGAATAAAATCCCACCCGACCCTAACCCAAATACTTTTGCTAACAAAAGTATTACACAACATATTATTACATAAAACAGAGATTGATTGGATGATAGTCGATATCTTTGGATTTCAATATTTTCGGTAATAATATGTTATTTATGAGCCATTTCGTAAATATCTCAATTATATGACAAAAATGTATACTTACTTTCATGATTTCACGAAACTTGCCAATTTCTCTGGTGATCAAATCCCGTTTTTCTTCTTCAACCTCAGCTTCTGCCAATACTTTGTTCCATTTTTCAATCACTTCCTCTGAGAAAAGCAAATATAGTTATTTGTTTAACTAGGCAGCAAAGTAGTAGATTGACTGCCGTGGCTGAATTCATAGCCGAGCGTAGCGAGGCTAGGAATCCAGCTAAGGCAGTCAATCTACATTGCTGCCGAGTTGAACATATAATTTTTTCTCCGATTGTTCATAATGATATGGGAGAATATTATATTTGCGAATTAATACAATTCCCACAATCTCTTTATTCTTCCTGTATAGTGTTCAATTAAAATAAAATTTGATAGAAATCGCAGTTGTTGGTTTGACAATTCATGAAATTTCTGACAGTTGTGCGAAAAAATATCGCTATATTTGAATTATTATATAATGGACAGTGATAGCGACCTGGAAGTATACTTACACCTCTATTAATAAGGGAGGTGGCAAAAAATATAGAGTTGAATTTGTTGCCGGAGAAGTCTCGGATGGAATATGAAGGAAATTATAAACGATTTATGGATTATTAATTTTGCTGCCTAGGCAGGAAAAGTAATACTTTGCTGATTGATATGTGTCAGCAAAATTAATATTTGCTGCCAATCGGAGGAAAAAATATTTACTTAAATACAAAAAGAATATTGGAATGATAACACACCTTCCTTTTTAGCTTCAAAATTATTCATTTCCTCCTGATACTCGTGAATGATCTGCCTTATTCTTTCTAAAGCAACCGCATCAAGTGCTTGAGTTTCTTCATCAAGTTCCTCTTCTTCAGGTTCATCTTGAAGAGGGGATGTTGTTCCTTTCTGCCGTTTTCGCCTCTCCGCTTTAAAAAAGTTGAAAGGTTATAAGGTTAGATCAGTTAGTTATGATGCATAGTTATAAAGCTTTACAAAATATTCGTTTTTCAAATAATCTTTAAATTTTAATTTGTCTTTAAAGCAATGATGACTTTGACAAGAACTCCACTAAATTCCCTGTTTTGATTTGCAATTTAACTTGTACGAAATGTTGCTAGAGAAAAGTTGCTGCACTGATGTGGATTCGCAAGTCGATATACAGGGTGGGTCACGGTCGATTGTACAGTGTCCCACTCAAATGTGTCACCACCCATTATCCTCGTAATTCTGAACATATTTTGGTCATTCAAACACTTCTCTGGAATAATATTTTACGAATTTTCTGAATCTCTACCCACTTTTTCTTCACATCAACAAATTACAGAGTGGCCCAAAACATCTATTTTTTCAAATGAAATGATCCATATTTTTTCCATAATCCGATGAAGCCCGTCAATCCGAATTCGAATATATATATCATTCATATATTATTATCGTATAAAATTTCATTTGAAAAAACCTTTTTTCTTCATCAGCCACCCTGGATTTTGTTGATATGAAGAAAAAGAGAACACAGATTCAAAAAATTCGTGAAAAATTATTCCATAAACGTTTCTGAATGGCAAAAGAAGGTTGAGAGTTACGAGGATTAAGGGGAGGTGACAGATTTAGGTGGGACACCCTGTACCTTAGACGTTTATGGAGAACGGGACAGGATCATTCTCAAAATTCTCAAAATATATTCAGCAATGCAGCGTGGCCGCACATACCAGAAAGTAATTTAATATCTCAAATGGAACACCCTGTATTTTATTGCATTTTCAGATTTTCCCTGAAATGCTGATTTCATCAATGAATCACACTTGGGGTCTAGCGGGAATGGTTAAAGAGATATGAGGTTTTCAAAAATCGAGATTTTTCAACTTTAGGATTTTTTTGTGTTGAAACTCTTCATTATTGGTCAAAATGGATTACATGGCCCTATCTTAAATTTTGATTTACTATCTACTGACATTTAATTGAAACAAATACATGTCGGTTCAAGATTCAGAATTCTGATAACCTTGTATCTGTTCCAATTAATTGTCAGTAAGTTTTAAATCAAAAGTTTGGATAGATACATGTAAGTTATTTCCACCAATAATGAATAGTATCGACACAAAAAAATCTTAATGTTGAAAAATCCCGACTTTGAAAACCATATATCTCTGTAATCATTCCCGCTAGACCCCAAGTGTGCTGAAATCAGCTCTTCAGGGAAAAACTAGAAATAAAATGAAATACAGGGTGGTCCATTTGAAATATCAAAGTTGGTACTACTTTCTGGTATAACCGGCAATGCTGCATTGCTGAAAATATTAACCAAATTTTCAGAATGTTCTTATTTTTTTTTTTTTTTGAGTTGACTCGGCCGTTACTTGATGGAAATCCATGACAAATGTAAAAACTTCACAAACGATAAGATTTCCACGAAATTTTTAAACACACGACATGTTTCGCTAACACAGTAGCTTCGTCAGGGGATATACTGGTACAGTTACAGTTACAGTACTGGTTAGTTTAGTTCATTGTACCAGTATATCACCTGACGAAGCTACTGTGTTAGCGAAACATGTGTGTTTAAAAATTTTGTGGAAATCTTATCGTTTGTGAAGTTTTTACAGAATGATCCTATGTCCCGTTCTACGTAAACGTTCAAGGTACCATCGACCGTGACCCACCATGTATATATCTGTTAATTTTTTGTCAACCAAATACAACAATTCAAAAACTATACCAGGTGAATGAAATAAACAGATTTCTGAATATGATACCTATTATATTATCCCATAATACAAATAATCATAATAATAAAATCGATAATAATAACTTCATTACACTTTATCCATATGTTGTTGTGCAAAAAAGAGCCAATCTAAATGTTCAAAAATCTTCCAGATTCAGCTTTACTCGTTCATTCTATACTCATAAATATGTGGTACTAAGGCAAAATCCGATATGTTCAAAAAGCGAATTTTTCAGGAAACGATTATTAAAGTTTGAGAGATCGCGGAAATCGGGATTTTATTCTTGTTAATGCAGCGAATTCATTAAAGTGTTTTACAACGAATACCCTATTCTCTTCTAGCAGGATAGTGTAAAATTCTTTTGGATAACAAAGTTATTTGTATAAATAAGACATCGTCTTTTGTCTTTCTCAGTTTCATTGAGCAAATTGACATATCGCTCACAATGACGGTAGTATTAGGGTCGTTTTTTCACGTAATTCTTGAAAAATTCGACAATTGCGATCTCTAGCGAAAAAGTGAGAATATACAAAATTGAACAACATGAAATTTGCTGTAACATAAGTCCCATTTATTTTTCGTCTACAATCAATCGTTCCTGAGATTCAGGGAATACAAAAATCGAGAAATATCAAAAATAGAGTTTAATGGTATGAAATTGATGTTTAATGTAGATAGTAGATAAAAAAAATATATCACTCAAACAAACATATTGAATGTGCACTCTTCAATAATCAACAATTTATCATCATCTTCATCATCATAATTTTCCATATCGAGTAACGGTGATGGTGTTAGCGCTCTTATTGCAGAAATGACTAGGAGTGCTATCACCGCCCATGTTCGAAATGTTCATCGAATCTGACTGACAGTCACCCACATCGTTCCCCACATCCAGTAAAACATCTGCAGAAGATTCTGTTCAATATCGCTTCAGGTGCAACAAAGTCTTTTGTTGTCACTGGAATGAGCGATCCGTTGCATCCAAGAATAAATAGATCTTATAGGTTTTTCAATTTCGCATATCCATACTTTTTATTTACAGGCCTGGACTTTCAAACTCCTACCTTTTCGGTCATCCCCTACGGGCTAAGACTTCTATTGTATTGTTCATGGTACTTCCCGTTACCATCTCGTATGAAAATTTGCGAATACACGATATCTTTCCCCTATGGACCTTTACTGGCCTTCGATTGAACTAATTGTTGCCTCTTCTTGTTGTCATTTTTGTTACTGCACTCATTGCCTATTTTCTTCATTATTAAATGAGACAAAGGTCTCTGAATGAGGGACAATCTGACTAGTATGGTATATGCATACCCTTTAGGGTTTAAGGAGTAACCATTTGAAATTACGTGAATGATATCCTTGGAAGTATATAATATAAATATGAAATAACATTTTAGCAAAATGAATTGAAATCACAAAAACGTCATTCACTTTCTTTAAAATTTACTTTAAGCAATTCTGCTGCTCTGGCACTGATTCTCAGACTCAAGAAAAAACTGTGGCACTCTGATGAATCAGTGGAAGAAGACTATGTAGATCCTGTTCCTTTAGGAGATTGGTGGAAAGTGGCTCATCATGATTTCGTCAATAAGAGTATCAGTGAATTTCTCCGTTTAAATCGTTTGAACTCGATCACTTTGAAGTTTTCATCATTAAGTGAAGTTTTGAATTGGATTACTTCAAAGAGTTTCTCATAACTAATCTATTTCATTTCCAGCCAGTTCACTTTTATACCCTCCGAAACCAGTCTCAGGGCACCATAAGGAGACATTTCTCGACTCATGTTCATTGAAAGTTTCCTTTCTATTTTTGGTCGTAAAAGCCGTTGGTGAAGTTTGGCAGGCTATTTCGGGACACCCTGTATATCTGCATTAAAGACAAAAGATCCATATTTTATGACGTATCGGGTTCTGCCTTAGTACCACAGAAATTAGTTTCAAGGAAGGTATTTTTCCTGATTTCCTGAAGACTAGTGTTTTAATTCCTATTCATAAAGTGGGGAACAGACAGGATCCATCCAACTTTAGGCTAATCTCTCTGATTCCAACCTTGGGAAAAATAATTGAAAAACTAATAAAAATACGGTTAGTATGGTTTTTGGAGGATAACAAAATACTAAGCAATGAACAATTCGGTTTTAGAAAAAATATGAGTACATCAGATACTATGTTCAACTGTATGGAAAAGGAATATACCAATCTCAATTCAGGTGAGAATGTAGCGGCCGTATTTTGTGACCTGACGAAAGCTTTTGATTGTGACTGTCATGGAGTACAGGGTGGCTGGAATTCGACCCGCATCATTGGGATCTCGTAAACCATAAGAGCTACAGGGTTGATTAAATTATGCCTAACAAAATGCCGTTTTGAAATTTAAAGAAATCCAAATACTAGTGAGAGATAGATAGATAATAAATGTTTTAGGAATAAAAACAAACATATTTTTCTAATAAGTGCGATACACCGTTGATTTCAGGAGATTGAAAGCTCGTAAAATCCATATTAAAAGATAGAAGGTAGTATTTGTAAAAACAAAGTTGATGATACCATCATATTGTAGAACAAAAAAAGTAGCAATGAGAATGAGTAATTTGTTTTGTTACATCTATTCAAATAGAGTCATAAAAAATTAAAATGAAATCGCAAATATTTGTTATTTCCAAAAATCTTTGGAATCATTTGGAATTCTTCAAATTTCAAAACGGCACTTTGTTAGGAATAAAATTGCGCAACTTTGCCATAATTTAATCGACCCTGTATATCTTAAAGTTTGTGACATCCCAATGATTAGGCTCGATTTCCAGTCACCCTGTACTGTTACTGGAGCTAGCTCATTATGGAGTCAAAGGTGTGGCTCTGAGATGGATGGAATCCTATCTTACAGTTACAATTTGTGAAGAATGAGCAAACTTGAAATACAATGGACATCACTTGGGGAGTATCTCAAGGCTCAGTATTAGGCCCCTATAATTTCCTTCTATACGTCAATGATTTATCTCGTCTTGATATTTACGGTTCCTCTACACTATTTGTTAATCACCTTCAAATGTATAATTCCAGAACTCCAATTAGGGATTACTACAGTACCATTTGAAACTAACATCTTGTCCTCATTATAGATAATAGTTTGAAATTTGAAACACACATCTCAGGTTTGAAAGTGAAATTATCTTCTGGACAAGGAAGCTTGGATTTGCGGCACAAAAAAATGTCTATTTTGCCCTCATTGAATCAAACCTGAGATATGCAATACCATTTTGGAGATGTTGCTATCAAAGAACTTTTCATAGTGAATTTTTGTTGCAAAAACGTTCCGTGCAATATTTGTGTCAGGTTGAAAGATAGACCACTTGCAAGCTGTATTTCCAGAAGTGTAAAATATCAACTATCACATCATTAAATATATTTAAAACCACATGTTTGATACACAGAAATAAATCTACATGCATTAACCATAATCATATGGCATGCAACAAATTTAGCACTTAATATGCCCAAATCCTCACTGATCAGAGACTGCTTTATATGCAATGAAGTAAAGATGTATAATAAACTCCCCATAGACATAAAAGCCATTGAGATTTTCAGATTATATATTATTATGATTATTTGTGTTATAGTGTGGTATTTTTGAACTGTATATTATGTTTAATTGCTTTTTAATAGAATAGGCTACTAGATACAAAACTATGATCATCTGGAATTTACAAATGGGCAAGTGGACCAATTTCTTAAATAGAATCATCACTCAAATACTTTTCAATTCCATATATTTTAGAAATTTTCGGTCGATATTATGGTGCCAAAATCATCAATAATGCCATGGTAATTTTCAATCGGCATGAAATTTACTGATATTTTGTTATGGAGTATAAGAAATATTTGGAAATGCTGGTTGCTCGGAAAAGCCAAGAATCAACTATAATATCATGAGTTCCTCCAATTATGTTTTATTCAACAACAGGACTCTAACATCTTTTTGATAACTTGATTATAATTGGTGACTTTGCAACATTGCTTCATGAGTGGGAATGAAAGATTATCTGACCAATAATGAAACAGCATAAAAATGACTGTCACCAATTATTCGACTTATCGCTGAATGGCGGCCATGACGGTATGTTTGAAATGATCTCTAAACTTCAACGATTTCAAACAATGCATAGACTCATTATTTACATAAAAACAGCGTGAGTGTTGCAAAAATTAATTTAGGTCCCTAACAAAACAGTGGAGTAATTGAATACCAATAATCCAATATGAGTCCACTGGCCCATTCTCATATTTCAATACTTGTTTACTGTTATGTTTTAATTTGATAGAAAGTGTTCGTCAATAAGATCATGTATCTTGGACAAAAAACATATATTCTCTCTCTCTCTCTCTCATTTTTTCTAAATATTTCTCAAGTTATATTGAAAAAAGTGTTCATGTTACCTTTATATTCATCTAAAACTAATTTAGTTTTAGCATCAACCTTAGCTACTAATCGCTTATCTGCTATGATAAGATCATGTAAAATTCTCACAGCCCTCAATCCAGCATCTGGTCCAGCCAATTCACAAAATCCAAAAGCCTTCACTTTTTTCCAGCTGATGACATGACCACAAGCCGCTAGAATGTGACGGATCATCGCATCGGGAGCTCTTTCGGTTATATTACCTGAATTAGAAAGTTGAAAAGAATTACTTGATTTAGAAGCTGCACAATATTTGTAACATCTTAGTAGCCTTTGTAATAGTTTTTGGGTTAGTCATCTTTTACAACTGATGATCAAATTATAATTCATTCTGCAGATATAATGCATGATGGTAAATGTTATAGTTTATATGAAATCAACTGAGACTATACTGAAAAAAGAAATATTTGATGAACTATTTGAAAGATGTCAAACTGCTCAGAAGTGTTCAAGTTATTGCCGCCAGGTAACATTTTCTATCGCGGCTGATTCATCATTGGTTAATTGAATTAGGAAATTGAATTGATAAACTTTCCTGAAAGTTAGGGTTAGTGCATTACAGCTTCATTTTTTCAAATGGAACAAAATGAATCATTGATTTCATTGAAAGAAACAATATACTATATGCTAATAATCATATTCAACCAGATAAATACTATGTAAATGTAAAAACTTTACAAAAGATAAGATAAAGGAACATGTAATTAGGTATCTACTACCTGTTTATTTCTAATAAATGAATAAATGAATAAATGAATAAATGAATAAATGAATAAATGAATAAATGAATAAATGAATAAATGAATAAATGAATAAATGAATAAATGAATAAATGAATAAATGAATAAATGAATAAATGAATAAATGAATAAATGAATAAATGAATAAATGAATAAATGAATAAATGAATAAATGAATAAATGAATAAATGAATAAATGAATGAATGAATAAATGAATAAATGAATAAATGAATAAATGAATAAATGAATAAATGAATAAATGAATAAATGAATAAATGAATAAATGAATAAATGAATAAATGAATAAATGAATAAATGAATAAATGAATAAATGAATAAATGAAAAAATGAATAAATGAATAAATGAATAAATGAATAAATGAATAAATGAATAAATGAATAAATGAATAAATGAATAAATGAATAAATGAATAAATGAATAAATGAATAAATGAATAAATGAATAAATGAATAAATGAATAAATGAATAAATGAATAAATGAATAAATGAATAAATGAATAAATGAATAAATGTGTTAAATCGTGTTTTTCGTCAATTAATCTCGTTTTCAAAAATATCAGCTTTTATTCAAAGACTCTGACAAACCCTTTCATGTTTATCTCTGACACTTATGTAACTAACTAACAATCTTTTTTGTTTCAATATATACACAGGGGCAATATATACAGGGTCATTATAAATAATAATAATTGTTATCAAGACATCACATTTCTCCCCCCCGTGAGGAAACTCCGTTTTCTTCACCATCAGTGAGCAGGCGACATAGTTTAGCAACAGGACGACGATACGTGGACGTTCTTGTTTTCACATCTGCCACTCGAATTCGGCCATCTGGGCCTGGAAAAACTTTATCGACTTTACCGATTTTCCAGGTATTTCTTGGAGCAGTCTCATCTACGATCAATACGATGTCTCCTATTTCTATACTCTTGTTGTCATCGATCCACTTGGATCTCTTGGTCAGTTTTGGTAGATATTCACGGATCCATCTCTTCCAGAAGGCATCTGTTAACATCTGAGATTTGCGCCATTCTTTGCGTGAATATCTACTTACTTCTGAAGTACAGGGTGGTCCATTCTGGTTTCCAAATCCAATCAAAAAATGATTTGGTGTTAATGCTTCTGGATCATGCGGGTCTACAGAAACATGCGTTAAAGGCCGAGAGTTAACGATATTTTCTGCTTCGGCAAATAGAGTTTCCAAAGTTTCATCCTTCAGAGATTGGTTGTACAAGGTGACTCCGATGGTTCTTTTTACGGATCCAATGAGGCTCTTATGGAACCCAACGCCATTCACGTGAATTCGTTAATTCTTGTATCTCCCCGATACGGTGTGCCACAAACTGAGTGTATTTCCTTCCATCTGCCTTTATCCAATCCAGAACACATTTAGAGTCAGTCCAAAAGTGAGTACCTTGAATATCAATCTCTAGATGTTCTCGTATGCTACAAGCGAGCCTACTAGTCATAACGGCTGCCTGTAACTCCATTCTGGGAATTGATAATGGCTTCAAAGGAGCAACTCTGGTGCTTGCTGCTACGAAAGATACATCAATTCAGCTTTCTGTAACTATTCTTAGGTAAGCCACTGCAGCAAAAGCTTTTTCACTAGCGTCAGCAAATAAATGTAACTCAATGTTCATCGAGAAAGGGATGTTAGGAGAATAGCATCGTGGAATTTTCATTTTTGCTACTCTCTCCAAGTCTCTGGTCCACAAAATCCAATTTTTCTCGAGTTCACTTGGAAGTTTATCGTCCCAATCGATACCTGCTCTCCATATATCTTGCATGATGATTTTCGCCCTTACTGTATGTTACATAATACACTCGGTATTATGATAATACTAAGGTGATATTTATTGATTGAATTGTCAATCAAGTACTGTCGTAATTTTATAAAATATAACATTACAACTCTCTATTTGTTCATTAATTAAAGTTAATAAATAACATACATTCTGAACATATAACATGGTGGCAGCTAGACGAGTATAGAACCCAACGTAAATTAGAGAGAAAATGGCACATCTTCAAGCACCAAAAGAATTCATACCCGGGACAGATCCAGCTTCAGCGTGGACGAAATGGAAACAGAAAGTGGAATTATTTTGGATTGCCTCAGAAATGGATAAAGCTCTGGTAGCAAAACAAAGAGCTACATTCCTGCACATTCTTGGTGATTATGGATTAGATGTGTACAACACACTCACATTCACAGAAAGGAATGATCAATTGACTGTCAGAGTCATATTGAAAAAGCTGTCTGAATATTTTGAACCATATAAAAATGAAACATATCTACGGTTTCTTTTCTTCACGTGCAATCAGAATGAGAATCAGTCAATGGACCAATATGTTACTCTCTTGAAACAGAAAGCTGCTGATTGTGGATTTGGTGACTTACATGATTCACTCATACGCGATAGAATGATATGTGGAATCTTATCAGATAATCTCAGAGAAAAGCTGTTAGGAGTAAGGAATTTGACTTTGCCGAAATGTCTGGATATATGCAGAGCTGATGAAGAATCAAGAAAACAAGTGAGAATTATATCTGCAGGAACTTCAAACAATTTAGGAGTGGATAGAATGAATTTTGCCAGCAGTAATAAGAAAATTCAAGGAGAGAGGAGAAAAATGTATACAGGAGATGAAAATTTGATAAGAAATGAAGGCCGATCTACAAGAGATGGGATTCAACAGAAACTATGTTATCGTTGTCATACTTCACATAGCTATGGAAAATGTCCTGCCTGGGGAAAGATATGTAAAAAATGTCAAAAAATGAATCATTTTTCTTCATGTTGTAAGGTAAACAAGGTGAATCAGGTAGGATGTGAGGATTTGACTGATGATGAAACTAATAATGATAGGAGAAATCATGAAAATGATTTTCTAGAGATAGGCTCTATAGTAGAGGTGAACCAGAACATATATAAAATATGTAATGTTTCACATGATAATTCTAAAGAATGGACAGAGGAAATTTTCATAAATGATACTAAAATCAAGTTCAAATTAGATACAGGAAGTGAAGCTAATATATTACCTTTCCATATTTATAATAAATTAGCCAGGAAGCCTGGTATTAGAGATACAGAAAAATCACTATTAGTATATAACAAAAATAGGTTGAATCTTCTAGGAGTCTGTAAATTGACTGCAAACTACAAAAGTTTAACGAAAGATTTTGATTTTTATATTCTTAAAGAAAGATATGAAACAATCTTAGGCTTGAAGGCATGTGTGGATTTGAATTTGATCAAAAGAATATATAATATTGATGATTGTCAGAATGTCAACGTCAAAGAAGATATAACATCTGCAAAATTAATAATATCTGAATATTCAGATGTTTTCAAAGGACTGGGGTGTTTTGGGAAACCTTGCACTATACGTATAAAAAGTGATGCAATTCCTCATATAAGTAGATGTAGGAAAGTGCCTTTGGCTCTGAATGAAAAAGTTAAAGATAGTTTAGATAAATTAGAAACCCAAGGAATAATTATAAAAGCTAAAGAGGCAACCGATTGGGTGAATGCAATGGTAGTGAGAGAGAAAAAAGACGGTAGTGTTAGGCTTTGTATGGACCCCAGACCTCTCAATAGATTCATTATCAGACAACATTTAGATTTACCAACTATGGAAACAATATTTGCTCAGATTGGTAACGCCAAATGGTTTACAGTTCTGGATGCTTCTTCAGCATTCCATCAGATTCCTTTGGATGGAAAAAGTTCTGAATTGTGCACATTTATTACACCATTTGGTCGTTACAAATTCCTTAGACTTCCATATGGCTTATCAAATGCTTCTGAAATTTTTCAAAAATATGTCAATGATCTTATAGAAGGATTGAATGGAACTTTAGCTTATATAGACGATATTTTAATTTATGGTGATAGCTTGGAACAGCATAATCAAAGACTAGAAAGTTTCCTTAGTAAAGCAAGGAAACACAATATAAAATTCAATAATGACAAACTTCAGTTAGCTCTGAACAAACTCAATTTTTTGGGACACACTATATCTGAAAATGGTATTGAGATTGACAAATCCAGAGTTGCAGCTATTCAGAATATGAAAGAACCATTGAACATTAAAGAATTGCAAACATTTCTAGGAACTATAAATTATTTAGGAAGATTCATCAAAAATTTAGCTGAGGAGACTGCACCTCTGAGATTATTATTGAAAAAAGATACTCTGTGGACTTGGGATAAAAATGGACCACAAGATTTAGCTTTCCAGAAATTGAAACGAATCATAACAGATACACCAGTTTTAGCTTATTTTAATAATAACCTTCCAGTTACATTGGCAACTGATGCGAGTCAGTATGGTTTAGGTGGACATATAAGTCAAAATGGACATCCAATTGCTTTTTGGTCAATGTCATTGAATAATTCTCAACAAAATTATGCCCAAATTGAGAAGGAA